GTAAATAAACTTAGGTATTAAAGCTAAAGTTATTTACTAGTAAATAAACTTAAGTTAAACTAAAGTTATTTACTAGTAAATAAACTTAGGTATTAAAGCTAAAGTTATCTACTAGTAAATAAACTTAAGTATTAAAGCTAAAGTTATTTACTAGTAGATAATCTTAGGTATTTATATTAAAGTTATCTATAGACTAGCCTAGATATTTATATTAGCCTAGGCATTTATATTAAAGTTATTTATAAACTAGCCTAGATATTTATATTAAAGTTATTTATAGACTAGCCTAGGTATTTATATTAACCTAGGTATTAAAGTTAAAGTTATTTACTAGTAAATAACCCTAAGTTAAAGTTAAAGTTGTTTACTAGTAGATAATCTTAGGTATTTATATTAAAGTTATCTATAGATAAGCCTAGGCCTTTATATTAGCCTAGGTATTTATATTAAAGTTATTTATAGACTAGCCTAGGTATTTATATTAAAGTTATTTATAGACTAGCCTAGGTATTTATATTAAAGTTATCTATAAACTAGTATAGGTATTTATATTAAAGTTATTTATAAATAAGAGTTATTATATAATAAAGATAATATTCTAGGTTTACTAAGTATATATAATAATAAAAGTAACTATATAATATATATTTTAAAATAGAATAAAATAATAACTATAAAAATAGGGATATATAATATATCTTATATAGAAAAATCTACCCCTATATAGTAACTATATTTTAAACCTAATACTACCTTAAAGCTTATAAGCTTATATATAGTACTAATAGGTAATACTATTTAGTATACTTATCTATAAACTTATTAAACTTTTAATATATCTATTCTTTAAAGTATTTAGCTAGAATTAATATACTAATAATATTATATTAAAGGTAGTAAAGAAACTAAATACTAAGGAGGTAATATTCTTTTCTAGGGGGGTAATAAAGGCTTTATTTTTTAGATATCTTTATTTCCCCCTTTTCTATTAGTAAATTTAAACTAGTATAATATTAACTTTTTAAGGTCTAGATAATTCCTATATCTTTACTATACTTTTAGATTTAGTTCTAAATACCTACTCTAAATAGTTATATAATAATATTACTAGGCTTATAAACCTCCCTACCCTATATTTATAATATATATTACTAACTAAGTTAAGAATAGTATATAGTAATAAGAATAGTATATATAATTAAAGAATAAGTTACTAGTATAGTTATTATATATTTTTTACTTTATTTTATAGTATTAGGGTTTTAGCTATATTATAAATAGAAGTAGTAGTATTAGTACTATAAGAGTAGTCTAGGCTAGTTCTATTCTAGTATATTACTTAGTAGAATAGGATCTATATATTAAAAAGTATACTAGAAAAATAAGAGATATTCTTTATATAGTAGTAATAAATACTTAACTATTATCTTTTTTAAAGGTAAAATATTTTAAAAGTAACTAGGTTAAAAAACTATTTATTAGTATTATAGGTAAATAGGTAGATAGGATTATTTATTATAGGCTTATTTTATAAGAACTATATAGCTATATACTATAATTAGTTTACCTATATATCTTAATACTTTAGTATTATACTAATAGTATAGAGTATAGTAGGAGCTATATATAAGAGGAAAGCTACTTTAAGTAAGAGTAGCTAAACTAAAAAAGTAAAGAAAATACCCTAAGAGCTTTTAAAGCTACCCTTATAGTATAATATAATAGCTTATATACTAGTATATACCCTTACTATAAAATAGAGGGATAATAAAAACTATCCTATTAACCTTTAGTATATTAAGATATTAATAAAAGCTTTTACTAAGAACTATAGACTAAACTATATAATTACCTTTAACTATATATAAGTAGTTTATTTTACTATAAATCTAGAGAAGATATATATATATATTAGCCTAAGAAGAGGGGTATAATCCTAAAAGCTATATAACTTTAGTAACTAGTCTAAGGTTAATAGTAATATTAAGCTTAAGATTATTAATAGCTAATATTACCTACTAGTATTTATAGAGTAGGCTAAAGCGTAGTATTAAAAGAAGGATAATTTATAGTAAATATATAAGATATTTACCTATAGTTTATTATAGCCTATAGTATATATAAGCTATATTGCCTATATAGAATAGGAGCTAATAATTATACTCTAGAGTTACTATTAGACTAATAAGACTATTAAATCTAAATAAACTATAGCTAGATTAGTAAACCTAATATATATAGCGATATATAGATATAAGCTATTACTAGGGTTAGGGTTAC